GAGACGCGGAAGGGCTGGTGGAGGCCGCGGAGCTGCCAGGGGGTCCTGCCCGGCCCGGGGGTCCTGTCCTGAGTCCTGCCTGGCCCAGGGGTCCTGCCCTGGGCCCTGCCCTGGCCCGGGGGTCCTGCCCGGCCCGGGGATCCTGTCCTCAGCTGCTCTAGGGCGTTCTGTTCTGGGCTGTGATAAGGTTTCCCCTCGCGGCGGGATCACCCCCTCACACTCAGGCTGTGTCAGGGCTGAGCGTCCTGTCTGCAGAGGCTCTGGTGCCTGCTTTCCCACCCGTTCCCTCACTGAAGTTTTAGCCGCTGCTAACAGTGCCCTTTATGTGCCTTAATAACCTATAAATGTGGGAGAAAAAGACTTGGTGGTGGCAATGGTATCATTATTGATCATTTGCTGACTGAAACTCTCTTTGTGCAACCATTTATTCCCTTGCAAGTATTAACAACTTGATGGCAAGACCAGGCCCTACACAACAGCCTACTCGGAATTCATAACATCTGCACGAAGCAGCAGCAAAATCCTGAGATTATCCCTTGTTACTCTGAAGAGTCTGTTAAACAGACAATTCAAGGAGTGAACAAGAGCAGAGTTATCTTAAAATGTTTGCTGGCACACAAACCTGAGCACTGAGGAGGTGAGGAAGGCAGCCAAGCAGCAATTCACCCGTGGAATCTATTTCAAATTATCTGTACAGCTTTTCTCCATCCAGCCTGTGTTTAATCTCTCTGCAAAAAAAAAAAAAAAGCACTGCTAAATATGATAATTTCATTTTCTGGAGATGCAGGCTGCTAGCACTTGGACTGCATGCCTTGCTTTATCTAAGAAAGTGTAGCAGAGTTTTGCTTTCTCTGCTGAAAAACCAAACAAAAGTCCTAGTCAGGGACCAGAGCCTCCTTATGTGAAGCACTCTGCAAAGCACAGAGCAAACCCCCTGCTTCCTTCCCCAAGGAAAACAGGGAACCAATCAAACCCCCCAGCAATGTTTTCTAGGTTATATTTTGCAGCTCACCACAGAGGGTAATTAAATACAAACGTCTACTTCAAATGTGATTTTCATTTTGGGGGGATTCAGGACAGACTGTTAAAGGCCCACAAGTGTATAAAAACTATTTGGTGGGATCAAACTTCCACTGTGAGAGTCACTACCTACTGGCTTTTGAAAAATCTAGCAGGAATTTCTGTAGTCTTGGGCAGCTAAATAGTTTCCAAAATACAGTCTATTGTTTCAGGCCTTTTCACGTGGGTCAGAATGGAAAAAAATCTCCTGATGCTGCTGTGGCAAACTCACTGAGAAGCAAGCAAAAATGGTTTGGTCTTAGTTGTGCTTTTGATTGCTCTGCTTTACAGATTTTTCAGCATGAAGGGGAACAGCACACAAAGCAGTTCTTACAGCTAAGAGCATTAGAGAATCAAAGATAATTCTTGTCATGCTCATTTTTAGCTTTTATTCCTGATAAAACAGTCTCCAGAGGATCATTACTGTGAACCTAAACCCTGTGAACTCTGGAGGCTGTGGCCATCAACTATAAATGTTCTTCATCTTGGTAGAAGCACATATAGAAAGTTATTTTGTTGTTTTTTTCACATTCAGCTCTGTCATTTCAAAAATGATACAGACTAGTTATAGTTTGGTGTTGTGGTTTAGGCCTAACCAACAAGAAAGAACCAACCACTATGTGGTGGGGAGGACAAACCCAACTAGTTGGGTTTAGACAAAGGAC